TATTTATTTTTGGGACAGAGAGAGACAGAGCATGAATGGGGGAGGGGCAGAGAGAGAGGGAGACACAGAATCGGAAACAGGCTCCAGGCTCTGAGCCATCAGCCCAGAGCCCGACGCAGGGCTCGAACTCACGGACCGTGAGATCTTGACCTGGCTGAAGTCGGACGCTTAACCGACTGCGCCACCCAGGCGCCCCAATGTGAGCGTTTTTAGGTAATTAATTCTTCCGCCTGAGGTCTCCCGGCTCTGGCCACCTCTTCTCAGAATTTTTGAAAACTGCCTGCCTCTCCTTGCCTGCGATGTTCGGTTTGCTGGAGATGATGGGACCTTTTGTTCTTTTCTCCCGGGTGCCCGTTTCACTCTGTGCTCATGGCAGCTGCCGTGTTGTTGGTTGGGAAAATGGAGAGGTAGTCCAGAAAGCTTCGTTTCGCTTTCCACAACAAATCGATCTGTTCCTAGCAACAAATCCCCTCCTGGGCTGTTCGCCGCAGCCCTGCACAGGAAGGAGGGCTGGCCGTTGTCCCCTTGCCCTTGCTGAACCCCCGGGGTGGACTCCCTCTGCTGAGATGTTTGGGAAATACCGACACATTCCTCCTGACTCCCCGGCGGAGAAAGCTAGAATCTCAGACCACGGTAGATTTATTTGGGTGGGGTTGACATCTTCCAGGACGGATTAAAATATTAACGTGCTTTCTCCCTGCCCCATCCCTTCCCTGTTGTCTAGTATTCTTTTCGCAGATGTGAAAGGATTTACCAACCTCTCCACAACCTTGTCTGCCCAGGAGCTGGTCAGGATGCTCAACGAGCTCTTTGCCAGATTTGATCGACTGGCCCACGTGAGTTGAATTTAATTCCCTCCTGGTCCTCTGTGGGAGTGAGGGGCTGTGCGTGGAATTAGGGAGAGAAAGACTCAGGCTTCATCACGGGGACCTCCTCTTCCGCGTCCTCTTCCCCGGCTCGGACTCCTGACCCTCCCACCTCCTGGGAACCGGGGTTAATTACTTACAGATCTTGAATGGGAGATGCGTCAGATTGACTTTCCCAGTTGAGAGATAGCTGATGAAGCGACAATGAAGCCAAAGCTCTTTTTATGTGTTTTCTGCTCCCCATCATGTCCCCGCTGCGTGTGGCCAGGTGCCCTCCAGTGCCACCTTCAGTTTGGTTCGTGCAGGGATAGCCACCTGCAGCTTCCCAAGCCAACTCCAGCCATCTGAAATGACTGTTATTGGGAGCCAGGAGCCTGCTGGACCCCCATTTTGTTTGACCTGATCCAACAGCTTTCTTTCTAGCCGACAGGACACTACCTTTATTTTCTAGCTGGCTTGAGAGAACAGGCTAAGGGAGATAGACATTTGCTATCCAAACACAGGTTCCCAGTCCCAAAGCCACCCAAGTTGGGGAAGGCTGTCATCCGCACCCTCTATTTTAAGAGTGGGCTTTGGGTTCACCCCGGAATACCTTAATTTCCTTCCTCATCAAGTGTGTAGATCAGTGCCAATGTCACAGGGCTGTTGAGAGAACCAAAGGTAAATGCATCCCGTGGAAGTTCATTTGTAGAGCATCGGCGTGTCTGAAGTTAAGGCTGCCTCCCTCCAACGAGGGCCATTCGTGCTTGCATCCGAGCCAGAGAAGACTTTCTGGAGAAGGTGACTCTTGGACCGAGTCTTAAAAGTGGGAAGACACATACAATAGAATACAGTTCAGCAACAAAAAGGAGTCAACCCCTGAGACACGCAGGAGTATCGGGGAGCCTGCAAAGCAATATGCCAAGTGAAAGAAGCTAGACCCAAAAGCCCAGATGGCAGGACAAAGGCGTTTATACGACATCGTAGAAAAGGCAAAATTATAGGGACAGGAAAGAGACGCGTGGTGGCCGGGAGCTAGAGGTGGACGGAACAGACGAGTTGCACAGAGAGACATGAGGTGCAGTGGCTTTGAGAGTGATGTAGCTGCTCTATGTGCCATCATCACTGTGCCCCATATCAAAACAGTACATTTTATCGTATACCGATTCGCGAGGCGCAGAAGGCAGGGAAGGTGGATATTACTGTCGAGTCATGTAACAGCTCCCAGGAATTGATCAGAAAAATGTGCTTGCAAATGAACTTCACAGATAAGATCTGTTTTCCGTGTACATATATATTTATATTTCATACACACACGCGCGCGCGCACGCACACGCACACACACACACACACGCACCATTTATTTGGGGCTCAAATTTTTCAAAGAGGCTGCAAACCTCACGTTTTGTTTACAAGAAAAGTGGACCCTGGGCACAAATACAGTCACCACATTGTGTGTGTCTGCACCAGAAGGGTAATAGAGCATTTTACACGGTTTCCTTCCAAAACACAGTTTTGTCAGGAGATCTGCCACCCTGGACACCGCTATGTTTTCTTCAGTTTTGTAGGGACAGCATGGCGTACAAAAGTCAGATCGACCTGAGTGTGAATTCCCATTCTGCCTCTCACTTGCTTCATGACCTTCGCTTCCTTAAGCCACTGGGGAAATGGCACGGCTCAAAACGTGGTCGTGGAGACTCACCGGCATAAATGTTACGCGTTTAACGTGTAGCCTGGCACATAGTATGTGCTCAGTAAATACTGCCTCCTTTCCCTACGTAAGTGTTTCCAAAATGCTTTTCCCTCTGTTTTCATGGAAGAATCACTGATTAAGAGTCGGTGAATTATCACCTACGGCCCGTAACGTTTGGTTTTTGAAGTTTTTATTTAAATTCCAGTTAGTTCACATACAGTGTAAAATTCGTTTCAGGTATACACGACAGCAATTCAACACTTCACCCAGTGCACATCGCAAGTGCCCTCCTGATCCCCGTCACCTGTTTCACCCATCCCCGCCACCCCTCTCCCCTCTGGTAGTTATCGTTTGCTCCCTTGAGTTGAGTCTATTTCTTGGTTTGTCTTTCTCCTTTTTTCCCTCCGTTGCTCATTTGTTTTCTTAAATTCCACATGTGAGTGGAATTATATGGCATTTGTCTTTCTTTGACGGACTTATTTCACTTAGCATTCTACTCTCCAGCTCCATCCATGTTGCTGCAAATGGCAAGACTTCATTCTTTATGGCTGAATAATACTCCCTTGTGTATATATACACTGCATCTTCTTTATTCATTCATCGGTCATCAAGATGAAAAGCTTCTGCACAGCGAAGGAAACAACGAACAAACCTAAAAGGCAACCTACAGAACGGGAGAAAATATTTACAAATGACATCTCTGACAAAGGATTAGTATCCAAAATATACAAAGAACTTCACAAACTCAACACCCCCGAGCCGAGTCATCTAATTAAAAAATGAGCAGAAGATTAAATAGACATTTCTCCAAAGAAGACATCCAGAGGGCTAACAGACACATGAGAGATGCTCACCATCACTCATCATCAGGGAAATACAAATCAAAACCACGAGGAGATACTCCTCACACCTGCCAGAATGGCTAACACCAACAACACAAGAAGCAGTAGGTGTTGGCGAGGACGTGGAGAAAGGGGAACCCTCCCGCACTGTTAGTAGGAACACAAAGTGATGCAGCCACTGGGGAAGACATTATGGAGCTTCCTCAAAAGATTAAACATAGAAATGCCCTGTGACCCAGCAATTGTACTACTAGGCATTTATCCAAAAACTACAAAGATACTCATTCAAAGGGAAACATGTGCCCTGGTATTTATAGCAGGCATTATTTACAATAGCCCAACTATGGAAACAGCCCAACTGTCCATCCACTGATGAATACGTAAAGAAGATGTGGTCTGTATATACACAAAGGAATATTACTTTAGCCGTTAAAAACAACGAAATGTTGCCATATCATTACTTTCGGCCAGCTGATCTGTGGCACAGGAAAATTTTCACATATTTCCTATCATACTGAAATTTTCATATTTAAAAACAGATGTAAATCCTCCCTGCCCTCCCGTGCTCAGAGTTATTATGATAAGACTCAAAGGAAGAAAGAGCGTTGAACGCTCGGATGGCTGTTTCCAGGTGTTTGTGGTCACTGCTACTGTTGCTAACTGATGGCCGTTCTTACTTTGTTATGTATCAAGAACAAGATGGGTTATTGTGACACGTTTCCTGTATGGGGAATTGAAACTCACCTATCAGCGGCTTCAGTGATTTATCCAACGTCAGACAGCTGGTAAATTTGACCAGAATGCGGATGTTGGATTCTTAGACCAAAGTATTTCCTTGCTCTACCCTTTCCCTCCTCCCTCCACTGCCAATGATCACAACTCCTGACTACCATTGCTCCTGACTACCACCACAGCTGGTTCTTCCTCAAAGAGTGTGGCTAGCTGAAATCACTTCCTGAGCCTCCAGCCTCAGTGTTCTCAGCAAAATCCAAATAAGGGATTTAAGGGTGCTTGGATGGCTTAGTCTGTTAAAGCATCTGACTCTTGATTTCAGTTCCGGTCATGATCCCAGGGGCAGGGAATTGAACCCTGTGTTGGGCTTCATGCTGAACGTGAAGCCTGCTTAAGATTCTCTCTCTCTCTCTCTCTCTCTCTCTCTCTCTCCCTCTGTCCTGCTCATGCTCTATCTCCCTCTTTCTCTCTAAAGAGTTTTTAAAAAATTGTTGAAAAAACAAATGAGGGATTTATTCCATCAGTGGTTCTCAAATGCTCTTTGACAACAAATGTCAGGAAGTTAAATTTGTGGCCATGAGATAAAATACATCCCTGTTATATTTATCTGCAATGTAGTGAGTTTTTATAATAATTTTATTTAGTTCAAAAAACTTTCCTGTCTCTTAGGAATGTATTTTTACTTTTTTCGTGTTAAAAATGCCCTTTTTTAAATAAAGCCATGGGGACCGTGGATGGTGCTTGGGTTGTTATTTTGTTTGTTGATGAATTTTTCATAATTCTCTGGCAAAATATAAAATTGAACCCTAGAATAGTCCCCAGGTCCTCTTTTTCTTAAAACTGTCCCATGGATGCCACAAATCTGGAAAATGCCAAGACCCATAGAACAAGTGCTCTCTGGTTCTGTTCCACACATACCACTAGGGGTCTTAGAAGAAACAGCTGAAGGTCGTAAGCTTCCCTTCTTGATCAGACCTCACCAGAAACTGTCTTGCCAAATTAGCCGCATCAGAGCAGCCAAAGACAGGAACCGCAAGCTCCTAAAAATAACACTGGGACGGCCGTGCGTGCCATCAGAGCTCTAAGGATCGCAGCTGTGCCCCACTTGGGAAGGTTGGCAAAGCCCTGGCCGTCTGATCCAGACGGAGAAGCACCAAAGCCATTTCTGAGCCTCTTTTCCCTCTCTGATATTTGGGGTTTTTACTGGGGGAGCGATTTCCTTCGTTCGTCACCCAAACACAATGGCTGAATCCGTGATCAGGTCAGGAAGCCAACGTGGTGCTGTATAGGTTGATAACCAAGGTATCCACTGGGCTGCTGGTGTCTCGATGGGCCCCTTTCTGTCTGTGCCCCTCCTTCTCTGCCCTTGGACCCCGGTCTCCAAAGGAGAGCCTCTCACCCAAAAAGCCCATAAATTTTTTCGACTTCAGATCTGGGGTGCATTGTCAGAGGTCATTCAGCCCCATCCATGTATCTAGAGAAGACAGAAAGGAAAGTCATCTGTCCATGATGTGAGAACCCTGGGTCAGAAGTCTACCTCTTCATCACAGACACAGGCCCCCTTTCTGCTGGACCCTGTAGTAAGCCTTGCATCGTATCACCCATCCTCCCCGTCACACGGTGAAGTCCCATTCGTTTACCATTTTATAGATGAGGCAACTTGTCAATCTACCAAACAACTGTGTCACCTTCACCACCTGTGAAATAAAAGCATTATACCTACTTCACAAGGTTGTTGTAAGGGTTGTGTCTGTTTAGTCTATACTGCATCATAGGGGTTGTTATTCATCGTCTTTGTGTCAGGGCCAACGCTTGACCTACCATGATGCCCTATAGACATTTTTTCCAGTGAGCGAGCCTGTGAATTAGTACATGAATAAGAGGATATGTAGGACATAGTCAGCCCTTCTTCTTAAGGTGCTAGAGTTGAAAGAATAGGCATCGCTGAATGATTTATACTTTTAAGTGCTTATTATTGAGCTAAAGATTGCTGAAACGTGTTCATTCAGAGACTCATCTTGCACGGAAACATCGAGATGCAGGATTCACAGAGGAACACTGACCATGCCCATTCTTTGCCAGGCCTGCCCATATGATGAGTGTTCATCAGAAGGCTAGTATGTGACAGAGCCGGGATATAGCCCTGTATCTGTTGGACTCAAAATCCAGTGTTTTTGAATGACTCCATTCCGCTGCTGAACCCCTGAAACCCTTATTTAGGGTACCTCCCCAATATTTTAGCAAGATAATAGAAGCTCATTTCAAAGGTAGGTGCTCTGCCCCCAGGGTGAAGACCACTTGACTCCACTGCCCTCCTTCAGGAGACTTTCAGGAGCACTTGCCTGTCTGCTGACTCAGTCCTCTCCTCTCCACCCTGTTCCTTCCAGGAGCATCACTGCCTTCGCATTAAAATCCTGGGGGACTGTTACTACTGTGTTTCAGGGCTTCCAGAGCCCCGCCAGGACCACGCCCACTGCTGCGTTGAAATGGGCCTCAGCATGATCAAAACCATCAGGTAATCCGGGGCTCCTCCATAATTCCCAGGCCTTCAGTGGGCACAAAGACGAACCACCCCATCTATCCTTTGTGGTAGATCATGCGTGTGTTGAATGGTGACACCCTTTGACTTACATCATGAAACCTGCATGGCCGTTAATTCTCCCCCACGAACCAATCAACCTGCCAGCTTCATCATGTTCTATTTCTACCTCACTTTCAATGACTTGTGCAGCAAATTTGCATTACCAATGTCCTTGTGGGGATACATCAAGGACCAAGATGAGCATGGTGCTTGACTTCAGGAAGGTTACTCACGATGGTACAGTAAGTTCTGAGATGAATCCAAACCAGGGTGCGTCAAGGGGAGCAGAGGAGGAGCAGCTCATTTGGGCCAGGGTGCTGGAAAACGCCTTCCAGAGTAGAGCCAAGCTGTTTTCTGAAAGGTGAGCGGATTTTAGACCCTGAAGGAGTTTTGGGCACAGCTGGACATATGGGGAATTGGGACATGCTGCAGTGACAGCTGGTGAAGCCTAGGGAGGGGAGGGCCAGGACAGATGGACTGCAGACTGAGAACAGGCAGGGCCCACAGGGCCTTCTCAGCCATGATAAGGGTTGCACTTTAGCCTGAGGCCAACAGGAAATCCTTGTAGGGCCACCGCCATGGTTGGTTTCATGGGTGCTTTTGGCTTTGGTCAGTGTATCTGGTAAATAGAAGCTTAATCAAGAAGGCAGGAGGGATTGAGGTCAAGGATATTGGAATTAGACTGTGGCTCTGGGACAGATGCTCCGTGTTGCCAGAGCTCCCCTTGAGCTTCTAAATGTGGTTGCAGAGCCTCCAAGCATTACAGCCTTTCCCAACCACAGCAGAGACAGTAAAGAAGGTACGTGGGCTGAAGTCTTCTCTGTGGCTTATGCCTTCATCTTACAAGGGAAGAAGAATCCTGCCATTAACAGGCCAGAATATTCTTTCATGAACTCACGCCTCAGTTGTGTGGTCTAGCAGCCATGTTTGTGACCATTGGCCTTGTCCATCTGGATTAAAGAACAGCAGGAGAACAACTCCTGAACCCCACACATATTCTCCTCTGAAGGCTCAGCCCAACTGCTGGCTCCCAGAACCAAACCCAGAGTGGGCAGGAGGGATCTATGCAGTTGGAGCCTCCCTTTCTAGAGCCTGACCATGCCCAACACGGTGTGCCTGGTCTCCTTCAACCTGCTGATAGATCCCTGACTTCATTCAGGTTTAGGGAAGAGGTCTCTTGACATCAGGAAATGCTGTGTGGCCCTCTAATTAAGAAGAAGACAGAAGCTCTTTCTCTAAAGATGATTTTCCTTCATTGATGTGACACTGGTCATTTCAAGACTTGGCCATAGATCACATTCCCGGTGGGCAGATATGCTGGCTGACCCCTAGGCTCCCACCTCTGGGACCAACCCATGAGCAGGGCCAGTCAAGGTGACGTGGTGCTTTGCTATGGGGTGTATGATGCAAATCCAACCATCACCATCCCCAAGTCCAAGTAGACAGGTGGAGAGTGACAGGACACGCCCCCTCTTTGACAGCAATTCAGAAGTTGTCTCCTCCACGGCCTGTGGAGAGAGGAGCCCAAAAGTTCCAACCCAAAGTTCCCTTTTGGTCGATGGAAAAGGCTGCAGGTGCTTCTTGGCTATTAATTTGGACACTGGCGAGTCTTGCCCTGAAAACTAGGGTGAATTGTAATATTCTAGCTGGCTTCAAGGAAGGCCCCAGGACACCCCGAAGGCTCTATGTTTTGTGTGCATTCTACAACTTGTTAGGTGTGTGAAGTTTATTCTACCGGCCAATCCGTAGGTCAGTCAACAAAGAATCTGTGGGGCTCTGCCACGTGTCGGGTGCCACCATGCTAATCCCTAGAAGTACAGTGATCAACGTGTCGTGGGTGCCTTTCTCTCACCCGTGGGTGTCATCACCCAGGGTGATAACGTGGATTTGCTGTCTGTGAAATGAGGAGATTGGGCCAGACCAGCTCTGAAGTCTCTGCCAGTTCTGAAAAGCTGTGATTTTTGATCACCCACATCACAAAAAGGCTTCCTTTTTTTAAGTTAAAAATTTAAGTTAATTTAATTAGACTTAATTTAATTTTTCATTTAAGTCCAAGTTCGTTAACAGGACGTAACATATGTTAACGTAGTTCACACCGCTGTGTCGTTGACACAGTGCCATAATGATTGCAAGAGAACTCGGTGAGTCATCACTTACCTACAACACCCAGTGCTCATCCCAGCAAGTGCCACAGACTTTCTTTTTAATTTACTTTTATTTTTTATGGTGAAATCATGGACAAAAAAAAAAATTGCGTGGGTCTAAAGTGCAGAGCGTGCTGCTTTAATGTACGTGTAAGTCGTGGAATAATTACGAAGTCAAGTTAGTGAGCATCCATTGCCTCACTTAGTGGTCTTTTTCTCATGTTTTTGGTGAGCCCACTTGAGATCTACCCTTCTGGCAAATTTCAGGCATACACTACAGCATCATTCACTGTCGTCACCATGCTGTACGTTAAGTCCTCAGAGCTTATTCCTCTTATAACTACAAGTCTGTCCCTTGACGAATATCACCCCATTTCCCCCACCCGCCCCCAGCCCTGGCAACCACCTTTCTACTCTGTTTCTATACATGTGGCTTTTTTGTTTTAGATTCACATACACAGTATTTGTCTTTCTCTGTCTGGCTTATTTCACGTTGCGTAATGCCCTCCAGACTCATCCTTGTTGATACAAATGGTAGGGTTTCCTTCTCTTTTTAAGGCTGAGTAATATTCCATTACGTATACGTATAAGTACATGTGCATGTATATACAATACCACATCTTCTCTATCTATTCATCCGTAGACTTTCCATGGGAGTTTGTATCTTGAGCGTAAACAGCAGAAACGCTGCAGAGAGGGTTTTGCGGAAGAAATGAACAGTGATCATCAAAATGCTTAACGTACTTACAACATGGTCATTTATCTCTCTGGAAAAGACCTCATTCCTCCTGACCATTTTGTCCAGTGTAAGGTCTCCTTTCTGGAGTTCCGGACTAGGTCAGTGAGATGTCAGGTTTGGATGCGTTGAAATGACTCGAGGGCTTTCTCTCATCAGTTTATTAAGGCTACTTTTACTCTTTAAGAATAAGACAGTTCAGTAGGATTTTTTAAACTGCATAACTCAGAGTCTATTAATATTCAAACACTCCTTGATTACAATAGAGGTGACTGGACGTCCAAAATTAATTCTTCCAGTTAGCAACAAAACATGATGCAGGGGAATAAATAAGAACACTGGAATTAGGCAACTTTAGTTGCAGTAGGTTCAGACTTCTAGAGCTTCCACTCTTGCAGTCTGCTGTTGCCAGACTGAGGAAGGACGGGCAGGCAGTATTTCTGAATGTGTGTAGAAGAGAATCTCATTTCCATAACTTTATCAAAAAGTTCACAATCTTAACCATCATTTACACAAGATGCAACTTTTTCTTCAGACCCAAAGGCACTTGGTCCAACTGGAGAACTTACTAGAAGTCATAAGGTCTGGAAGCATTCATAATATCATACTACGCATGTTGTTGTGTAATGAAAATAAGCCATTTATTGAATGGTGTTCCCAGACTCGATGACTGCCCCCTATATTTGTCATCAGAGATCGATCCCTCTTGGAGGTATTGTCCCCACCTTGTCAAGGTCTCTCCTTGTGCCTTTTTTGGCATTTCCTCAAAGAGTTGGGGTCCCACCGTGGTCCCCAGAGTGCGCAGTGAGGGGCCGGTGCTCTGATGGCCGGATGGCATCTGGATCCTGGGTCTGTAGATCCCAAGAGCTCCAGTAGTTCCTTTGCTGGTTGAGAGTTACAACCTTTGCACAAATGGCAAACCAGCTCTCAAAACGACCCTGAACCTTATTCACAGATGAGTCTAAATATGGGATGGAGGTCATCCTGCGATCCCAGACTGCTGAGGACAGGTGCCCAAACCAGGAGAGGACACGGTCAGCTGCTGCTGGTTAGAACACTAGGCAGGATTCCCAAGTGAGCGAGGGTCGAGGCAGTCAGAAGAACGAGCGTGACCAAAGTCATCTCCCCTGCCTTTTGTCTTCTCCAGAGGTGTCTCCACTCTAGTCTTTTTGACGGAAAAATAGAGGTGTTTTCCTGGAAACAAAGGTGTGAAGAATATGCTTTCCTAGCCGTTAAGAATGGCAGAAGCCCTGTGTGTGCGTGAATGTGTGTGCATGTGTATATGTATAGAAGTGCGGTGTTTATGTATACGTGTGTCTGGCATGTGTGTGTGCACACGTGTAATGTGTGTGTGTGTGTGCATGCCCGCGCGTGCACATACGTGCCTGTACACGTGTGCAGGCGTGTGTTTGTGCACATGTGTGAATTTGTGCAAGTGTGTGTGTGTGTCTTCAGCATTTGAAGCAGGCCCTTGATGATCACTACAATTCTAAGTCCAGACAGTGGAGTCAGTGCACAGATAGTTGGTGACCTTGCGAGACAACTGTGGCTTTATCCCTCGGGTGATGAGAATTCATTGACACTTAAAGTAAGGGAGGCGTCCTGTTCCAGCCTGGGCCTAAGGAGGATAACCATGGACGTGGGTAATTCTCTCTCTGGTTGCTTCTAAAGTTTATTTATTTTGAGAGAGAGAGAGAGAGAGTGGGGAGGAACAGAGAGAGAGAAGGGGAGAGAGAGAGAAAGAGACAATCCCAAGCATGCTCCGTACTGTCAGCACAGAGCCTGACACGGAGCTCGATCCCACAAACCGTGAGATCACGACCTGAGCCGATACCAAGAGTCAGACATTCAACCACCTGAGCCACCCAGGCGCCCCTCCAGTTGACTCTAGATGAGAGAAGACAGATGCCGAAGGAAACTAGTTGGGAGAGATTTTTTGCAGCAACTGGGGGAAGAGATGCGGGGCCCAGAATGGAGCAGTAGCTGTGAAACAGAAAGGGAAGAGCGATACGATTCGAGCCGGAGAGCCTGAGCGTCTCCGCAAGAGACAATAC